TGGTGACTGAGCTAAATCCCCAGCCCTGGAATTCAATATTCCTTTCAGTATTACAAACAAATGTTCATGGAAGTTTTAGGTCCAGATCTGTATGATTTGCCAATTGAGACTTACTTGCCTATTGTTTTGATGATGAAATAATCACTTATTTAACAGGTTGTGACTGATAATTAGTTTTCGGACTATTTTTGTTCTTGTTTTCCTGGCTCGGTATTCTCAGTGTTATATTCCTTTACTGTATGGATTTGTTTATTGTAAACTGGCTCTTTATCATCTTGTGGCTGGATAACTTCATGAACACACAATTGCCTCTGTTCATAAATTATGATTGTTAATAGTCAGGAGCATTTTTAATTATGTCATAAAATAGTGATGTATTACACTGACAGATCACTTCAAGGTTTTCAAAGTATTTTCAGGTGTATTAACTTCAGTGCCCTTAGCAGTAAGAAATGTTCATTTTGCTAATAGTTATATGGAAGGACAATTCATATGAAGAATGTTCTTCAAAACAATTTTTTTGGCAAATTTGGAAAATTGTGATTTTTTTCAGTTAAATTTTTCCGTCAAATTTGGCTGTTAGCTCCTGGCAAAATAGCTTTTTACTTTTAATGAACTAGAGTAGGTTATATAGAGCATTTTACATTAAAGTTTCTCTCCCAAAAGACTGAATTCATTTTATATATAAGGGCCAGGGATTTACTTCAGTGGTTCCATTGCCTTCCTCGCAAGCACAAGGACCTGAGTTCAATCCCCAGTATCAAAAAAAAAAAAAAAAAAAAAAAAAAAAAAAAAAATACATAGTTCTGAGGCTACATTTGTAACTCACCTAAAAACATCATCAGCGTGGTTTTGGCAAAAGCAGTCATAACTATTCCTGCCATGGTGGTAAAAATTCCAATGAAGGCGATATAAATGTCTTCCATGCAATAAGAAAAAAGCCATATTCCAAGGAAACTACCAAAAAAGGAGACACTATCCAAAGCTGATCCATACCCTATAAGAACTTCACTCCAGCAGAAAGGGGAACCCAATTCATAAAGAATAAAAACTGGGAAAATACCAATTATCACAAAAAAATAAATGACCATTGTGAAAAGTAACAAACAGAGCAAAGACCGCTGCTTGCCAGAAACATTTTTAAAAAGCATGTAAGTTCGCTGAAACTGGTTTTTAAAGTTTTCCATACATGACATAGTAACATTAAAAGATGAAGATTCTTTCACTGAATCACCAAGAAAAAATAAAATAAAGACCAAATTAACAGCAAGAGCTACAGCAATAATTAAAAATGACAACACAAAACCTAGGTGTCTAATAAAATAGCCAGATGACAACCCTGTTAGTCCAGAAACAATTCCAAGCATGGAGTCAATTATAGCTATTCGAATTGTTTTTTGTTTATCTTCTTCACACTGATCAACTACATAGGCAAAACAAGCTGACAAAAATGTGCTGGAACTCCCAAAAAAAGAACCAATAAAGGTAGAGGCAATCAAAAGCTGGAATGGAAAAGCAAAATAGGAAAGCAAACATAGCCAAACAGTAGTTGCAAGAATACCAATAGAAGATAAAATCATAGGGAATTTTCGTCCACGCTGATCACTACTGGACAAAAATATGAATGTAGACACCAGACCAGGAATTAACCCACTTAGCTCCATTTGCAGCCTAAAAAGAGACACTTTTTTTTGAACTTCCTGCGAAGAAAAAAAAAAGACAATGGGTTTACAGAAGTTATACAGTGTGCATAAAAATTATCACAATGCATGCTTTTCTGGATATTGCCAGTAGGGCGGGGACTCTCTGGTGCGTGAGGGGGCCAGATATGGCTTAAATCTTCACTGAGTGTGCAAAGCAGGTGTCTAAAGGTAGAATAATTACACACTATCATGGCATTCAAGTGCATGCACAGTGGAGACTTCAAACAATAAAAGGAAAAATGTGTATATTGATGGGAGTCTGTCTTGTACAAAGGACCTGTATAGGACCTGTATACCCCAATGCCTTGTACTGGCCAGAGTATGATTTTCCTTCCTTCTGGGAAAACTTTGCAGGGAGATGATGACCACTTTCCTAAAGCAACAGCAGTAACCTTTCCTGAGATAGGTCTTCCTGCCTGTCATGGGACAGGGAATAACACACACACACACACACACACACACACCAGGCTTGATAGCTGTGTATTTAGTAAGCTCTCCATTGCCATTTTTACTTGTGTCTCTACAAACAGATTCATGAGAAACTTGTTCCTTTACTTGCCTAACTTAAAATAATAAAAATACAATAACTTCCAAAGAGGACCCTTTCACTGACTAAACACAGTAGGTAGCCTGCCATGAACTGAGGAGTAAGATGAATGTAACTCCTGAGGACCAAAACAATGAGGACACACAAGTACATACATACTCTCACAGATAGGGAGCTGTGACTTCTCTGTTGCTCATTTGATGCAAAGAATTTTGGATGGCTTAAAAACATCTGCCACTTTTTTATTTTCCAAATTTATTTTTAATTTTTTCTATTATTTATTTGTAGATGACTGTAGTGCATGTTTACATTCCTTGTGAGGAACTGGTACATACTTAACACATCCTAATTCTTTCACCTTTCCCCTTTTCCTCCAACCCCTCACCACCTTCCTTCCATCTCTTGATCCCCTTCTCCTATGAGAAAGATCTACTTCCTACTATCTTTTATTTTGCTGTTTATTTATACTTTGGGTTTCTCATATAAAAGAAACTGATGTTTAAGTTTGTGCATCTGATTTATTTCACTCAACATTATGATCTCAACATACATGCATTTTTGTACAAATGACTAGTTTATCTTTCTTTATGTCAGAGTAGTACTACTCCATTATGGGTAAATAACACATTTTTATATCCATTCATCTGTCGAAAGTCATATATCCTGCTTCCAAGATTTAGCTATTATGAATTGTGCTGCTATAAACAGAAGTATGCATGGATAACTGTAATATAATGTCTTTAAATCTTTCAGGAAGAGATATAGAAAAGGGGATAGCTGGATCAAATATTTTTTTTTCGTTTTATTGAGTTTATTGGTACATTTTAGGTATACAGTACAGTTACATTCATTACTGGGATCTTGTACCTTTACATGACAGGTCTTGGTTCTCATTTTTTCCCCTTGTCCCTGCCCTCCCTTTACCCCCTCCTCCCCTCCCCATTCACAAACTTTATTTCCATTTTTTCATTTTCTCCTATTTTTTCTTTTCCCTTATTCCCTTTCCCCTACCCTTCCCACTTTCCCTACACCTTTAGCCCTTCTCTTACTATTTCATGTTATTAATTATCCCATTAGGATATTGAGTACTATTATAGTTTTTCACACCAAAGAAATTATTCGGTATTTACACGTGTGACTTATTTATTTCACTTAGGGGTATATCCTCAAAATTCAGTTTTTAAATTTTTTTAAGGAGTCTCCACACTGATTTCCATAACAGTTGTACTAATTTACATTCCACCATCAGTGTCAAAGAGTTCTTTTTCCCAGCAGCCTCACCAGTATTTTGTTATTATTTGATTTCTTGATGATAACCATTCCTTCTGGAGTAGGATGGAATCTCAGTGTTGTTTTAATTTGCATTTCCCTAATGGCCAGGGATGTTGAGCATTTCTTCATGTAAGTTTTTGGCCATTTGCACTTTTTCTATGAAGTGTCTATTCCAGTAATGATGTACCTTTTAGAGATGAGTGCCCAAACTGCAACCCAAAATCCACTTATTTATTGCAAAGTGCCAACACTGCAATTAAACCTGAATACTGAGGTTCTAGCTTAGAAAAATCAACTCATACATTAACATCTTTTGTCTTAAAAAGAACACATGTGCCATAAGTTCACCACAACTGGTTTATTCATTTCACTTCCCCATTTTCTGACTGAGTCTTTTATTTGGGGGGTCTAATTTTTGTATTTTTATAATAAGAAATGTATATGAGAAATGTTTATAATGAAAAAGCAAAGAGTTTTTTCATGCACTACTTAGAAAGCAATTGATGAACTATAAACAATTGATGAACCATAAAAATGTCAACTGCAGCTCTCTCCTCTACTACAGGACCCATAGGAGGGCAGAGTTTTGTCATCTTCATCACGCTATTAGCAGCCCTGAGAACAGTGCTAGGTGCTCAGTAGACCGTGAATGAATAGTCAAGCCCTCAGTCACTTGCTACCTGTGCAGGATCCTGACCAAATTATTTATCTCTATAGCCTGGTCATATGGTTGGAGGGGTAATAACAGACTTTACTTCATAGGTCATTAGAGTCAAATTTAAAAGAAATACAAGGTGTTTGGCACAAGGTCCTGGCATAGTCAATACTCCAATCAGTTTACCTGTTCCATTTTTACTAGGTTAGACTTGCTAGGCACATCTTTGTGTCTCCTGCATATATAGTAGCCATCTAAGTAAATACTTATTTAATCAATAAATTAAGTTATCTTTTAAAGTTGAAAACATTATGTTTTAATCATTTCAACCAGATGCTCCAGTTTAAGGTCTTTCCCCCTATTTCTACCCCTCTACCCCAGTCCTGTCTTCCTCTATTGATTACCTTTCCCAATCCAATCCTATATCTTCTCATCTCTATTGTTTTAAAAGAGATTTTAACAAGAACTCAAAGCCTATTTCCATCATAAATTATAGCTGAGATAAGAAATAAATTGTGCATATATTTCTTTTCTTTTTAACTAGGGATTGAACCTAGGGTCTTCATAATAAGCCACATCCCAAGCTTTTTAAAAATGTTGACACAGGGTTTTGCTAATGCACTAAACTGTGTAGGCTAGACTTGAACTTGTGATTCTATTGCTTTAGCCACCCAGAGTACTGGGATTCCAGGTATTTATCCACTTTCCTGGCCATGTGTGTATTTCAGACACTGGAGAATTATATTATATATCACATAGTGGTAGAGATATTTTTTAAGTGCTGTTTGTTTTCCATCCAAGATTTGACAGGACAACGATGTACCGAGACAAGATAAATTAAAGAAGCAGTATCAATTTAAAGAAGTCACAATTTCATAGAATAAAATGTGTACATTAACTCCAGCTGAGTAGAAATTATTCCACGTAATTTTTCATAAATAGGAGTCTGCTAGTAACAAGGGACTGTGTTAGTTATCAAATGGCTTATAACCAAATTTCCAGAGAAAATAACTTCACAATTTGTCAGATTTCCCTCTCCAATACAGAGCCACTATCTTAAAAGCTGTCTGAAGCTTTAAAGAGCAGACTTGAATCAAGAACTTATTCCTTCAAAACTAATCATTCAACAGGTAAAGGAAGAAGTAGATTTAAGAAGTAGCTTCCCTCACAAAGTCAACAAACCTAGAAGGTCTTACCCTTTTCCTAACTAGCTGGGAGTTTCCCTGCCACAGCTGTGCCATGGTAAGGGTCCTTTTGAGATTAATGTCATTGCCCAAAAGAGATCTGTATTTGAATATTTGTAAAGTAGGTGAAATCAATATGTTAATATAATTAATATGTTATTTATGAGTACAAATGCTTGTATGTATTAATGCAAAATGGGTTAAAAAACTTTTATTCATATAAAGTTTCAAAATTTCAGAAGTGAAAGCGCTCAGTTTATAAGTGTCTATACCCTGACATTCTTAATATTCGTAGACACTTGTGTGCATTTGTTATGTAGGAAGGATATATAAAATTGGTAAGGGCTATTATCATGACATCTATTGTCCACTCAAACACAACTGGTTCTCTGAGAGAAATAAGAATTGAGCTGAAGAACTTATTAATTTATTTTATTAGGGACTCCCCAAGTGCTGTGACATCTCTTATTTTGATGGTTGCAAGAATTGTTACATGCTAAGCATGGTGGCATATGCCTGCAATCCCAGCACTCTAGGAGGCACTGCAAGTATACAGGAGGACTGCAAGTATAAGCCTGGCCTCAGCAATTGAGCAAGAGCTTTTCTCAAAATAAAAAATAAAATAGGCCTGGGGATGCAGTGCAAAGACCCTGGGTCCAATTCCCCGTACTGACAAAACAAACAAACAAACAAACAAACAACAGTCCACAAACCCCTCCAAAGTTAAGACTCCAACAGGGCCATGTGCTAGAGAGGAAGCTGAAGGAACAGGGACCATTGCTTTTGGATAGGGAAGTGGATGTTCCTCAGGAGGAGCAGAGCAGGGACAGGATAGTAAAAGAAGCCAAAGGAAGTGCTGAGATGATGGTGGTCTCTCTGCAGAAATGCCCTCTGAAAGATGCGTGGCCACCCACCGTGTCCCAGCTGGGAGGTGGGGTTCCTAGTTCCCCACTCTGAGAAAAAGCACCAGAGTCTAAGAACTTAAAGCACCAACTTTCAGGGGAGTGATCTAGAGCAACAGTATGTTCTCTTTTTTTTTTTTTTTTGGTACCAGGGATTGAACTCTGGTCCTTGTGCTTGCAAGGCACCGAACTGCTGAGCTAAATCCCTGGCCCAATAGTATGTTCTCTTGAATATTAATCTAATTTAAAACAATAATGAAAAACATACCATCAATTTGAAAATTGGGCCCACATCTTTGAAATGAACCACTGCTCTGGGCAGTGGAGGGAGGAGTCCCCATCACTGGGCCAGGCCAGGTGGGGTTGGGGGGTCAAAACACTCATCACCCGGTCAGACAGAGGCCAAGATGCCTGGACCAGGCCTGCCTCCCCATGTTCCTGGAGTGTGGGAGCAGCAGGCATTTCAGTCCTCTCTACCCTTGAAAGTGTCCAAGGGGGCCTGCTCCTGGATTGGAGGGGGTGGAAGAAAGCAAAGAACCAAACAGAGTTGATGAACCTATGGTTGAAGGTCATATGATGAGACATTCTTTCTTTCTTTTCTTTTTTTTAATGTGGTGCTGGGGATTGAACCCAGGGCCTCACGTGTGCTAGGCAACTGCTCTACCACTGAGCTACATCCCCAGCAGACGAGACATTCTTGAAGGGAAGTAAAACCACTCAGTGAGGCCGTAGGTCCTTCTCTCTTTACGACCTTACTTGAGGCCAGAGCTTTACTGTGTAGGTGGCAGAATTAAGCAGTTTCAAGAAAACTTCTCCCAGAGAAATGAGGAAATGGGTTCGTCAGGGGCTGTGCCAAACAGCGGGGCCTCACCCTAGCCAGTTTCCACCTGACACCTGGGAGACACCTTCCATCTGCAGCCCTTTGCCATTTCCTTACTTCAGATCATCTCTTTCACAGAGTGACTATCAGAGCCAGGGGAGGTGACTCAATTCCCTTCATCTCTTCTCATCTGTGAGTGGAAGGGTAGCACCACTCCTTTGCTAGCTACAAACTCTCTCCAAGGGGAAGAGTTCTTAGTTCATAAGCTGGTTTGTTTGGGGGGCTTTGGAAGGAAAAGCATTTACAAATCTGAATGCCATCATCTTTGCATCTGGATACTGACAGACTTCCGTTAAACAACACACTGGGGTGGGACAGGGATTTAGTTCAGGGGTGTCACTGCCTGCCTGGCAAGCTCAAGGCCCTGAGTTTGATCCCCAGTAACCCCCAAACAAACAAACAAAACAAAACACTGGGGCAAGGAGTCTCTGAGGGAGCAGATAAAGCCCCACGTATCTAGCTAAACATTTTCCGTGTTCCGAGAGCAAAAGTGAGTACTTCCCATTCCAGATGTCCTCAGGGATCAACATGTGAGAGTCAAAGCTGATAATGGCACCAAATGGCAAGAGATAAACCTGCCTCGCCCAGTGGCAGACACTAGCCCAGTCTTCGGTGACAGGCCACTTTCTGGAGTTCCTGAAACATGCAGATGTAGTAAAAGGGAGCAAGGAGGAAGGGAATGAGGGACAAGGAGACACACCAAGCTTCCCCTACCCATGCCCACCGAGTAGCTGGGATTATTTTAGGACAGAGTAATAAGACAACCACAGAGTAGATGAGACTGTGCCGAGATTTTTCCAGGAGAAAGAAGAGCGAGGGTCACACAGGAAAAGTTGGGTGTGAAGGAGAGGGCAGGCTACGGATGCCAGGAAATTTCAAATGAGATGAGAACTGAGAAAAAAGGCCATTTGGTTTAGGATTTGAGTCAGGTGATCACCCTTGAAAGGCCAATGTATGATGAATGCACCATCCTCTTTCATTTAAAACCTGTTCCACATTCTCTTTTGATTATGTTTTAGGAATACTTTTAATTTCTTACCTTTTGGAATGCAAAAAGTGTGCTGTTTTCTTTTTGTTCACACTCAGAAATATTACTATCAAATGCAAAACTGTAATTGCCTGTTTCTTCCCATATTCTCCTATACACATACTGTGTTGTCAGGGGGATATTCAGACTCATAGCGAATGCACTAAGGAAAACGGCAGGTTCGACAAATAAAATCTTCATATTGCTTGAGTAGGTAGCTGACTTCTACGAAAAAAGAAAAAGGGAGAGAAGTGATCTGTTACATTCTAATCCCAGTGGCTAGATTTTTCACAGATGATGAAGTTAGAACTAATTTGTGGACTGAACATAAACCAGCAAAACTGAGAACAGAAAAGCAGTGACCACTTCCTACGAAGAAAATGCTACTTTGGATCTATTCTAGAGCCGAGACTGTCACACTTTTCATTTTAAAAACAGAAACTCTTACAACGCAAGCCACCCTTAGGATGACTCTGCAGTAATAGAAGTCACTCTGGGTTCACACCTTATATATTACCAGCTGGTTTTCGTAAGGCAAAGTTCCTCTGGGTCATGACAATTATGCAACTGTTATTGTTATTTTGCTGCGTAAAAAAGGGAGGGGCCCCTTTTAAAAGAAGAAGCTCCTAATTGGAAGGTGTTTTTATTCTGTTCTATTCTTAAACTCACCCACAATTACAGTCTTCCTACCAGGCCAGGCACAGGGCCGACCCTTTTCAAGACCAGGCTCCTCAGACTCTTCTGCGGGCGGACAGCTCCCAGGGTTGGGCCAGCTGAGGACGTGCGGGGTGCAGCTCCACCAAATACTGCACGCTGGCGGGGTAACTCAAACCTTATTTTAAGGCAAACTAAGAGAAGCTCACTTCCAGCGTCCAGAGTGATACCTGCGATGTTCGCTGCGCTGCCCGCGGCTCCTTGGCTGCCCTGTGACTATGGTATCAGCCAGCTCCGACCTCCGGAGGCGCGGTCTGCAGGTCAACTTGCGGCTCCGCCTGACCCGCTCTACGCAGTGACTCAGCCGTGGTAGGCCAGCCGAGGAGCGGGGGCCGGCCGCTGCCTACGCTATCATCGTACAACCCCCACACACACCGCTCTCCTACGATTGGACCCCTCGGCCGGATCCCTGCTACGATTGGTCTTTCCGAACGTCACTCTTATGTTCCCCTCGTGTTCCCGTCCCCGAAGACGCAAAGGAATCTCCTGCCGGCAGCCGCTGGGAAGAGTTTCCTCGCCAAGGGCTCCTTCTCCAAATCTTCAGGGTAGGGGAAAGGAAATAAAGAAAAAGAAAAGAAAAAAAAAAACCCATGAGAAAATGGAAATAAAGTATTTGTAAATAAGGAAGGGAGGAGGGGGTGAAGGGAGGGTAGAGGTAAGAGAAAAAAATGAGAACCAAGACCTGTCATGTAAAGATACAAGATCTCAATGATGAATGTAGCAGTACTGTATACCTAAAATGTACCAATAAACTCAATGAGAAAATCAGAAAGGTAAAAAAAAAGAAGCATTTCTGGATTGAAACGTGTTTCTTAGACGCAAAAGTAGCATGTGTGTGCTGCAGCTTCCTGTAGCATCTTGGGCTGCCGGGCAAGTGTGTGTGTGTAGTGGGGGATAGTGGGTGCCTGTAATGGGCACAGGAAAGTGTTCTTGGCAAAAGAGAACTGGGTTAATGTGGTTGCTGGTTCTTTACAAGTGGTAGCTTGGACATATTTTGAAATCTCTGTGAACCTCCATTTCTTTATTTGTCAAGCAAAGTTAATAAACGTAATAGGTTTGTTGTAATTAAATCCTTATCACGCGTCAACAGCAACAGCCCCTGGAGCAGCGGAGAATAGTCAGTGCCCTTGGATACGCAAAGCGGCAGCACACTTGCAGAGTTGGGGTATTACTTCTTGCACCAAGGAGGTTGCACACATGGAACTGGGGACCATCTCAGCGAGAAAGAGCAAGAATTTACTATGGGCACGTTTTCAGTGACCTAAGGAAGGGTTCAAGAGATTAAGATCTTACTCTGATGCCACTGTTAGGAAGTAGGGGCAATTCTATGGCTAGGTATTCTAATAAATATTATGGAGAAGAAGTCTATGATAAAGAGGCAGCCGTCAATAATGTTAGTGATTTCGTGTTCAAATTTTGTCTGTTCAGAGTGTTAGTGTGGTCTTGTTTTCATCTCCATCACAGTCTAGAATGGCCTTGTCTGAACAATGTTGATTGGGTGTTCTGTGAAATTTTTAGTCAATAGAGCACCATGATCCAAAAACATTCAGGAAACTTGTAGATATGATAGTTCCAGGTTGGAGCTACTCCTTCTTCCTCAGTACTCAATAAATGATAAATATGTCACTGAATGTAGTCAAAAGGCTTTGATTTGACTTCTCATTGCAACTTGGTAGCTCATAGCCTTAAACTTGCCTCTACTCAGTTTCTTTAAGCATTTATGAAGGACTTACTATATTTTTCAAGCAGCAGAGTGTGGTTGTTGAAGGAATACAACAATGAATAGATCCTGTTTTCTAGGCAGACAGGTATTACAATACAAGACACATTGTTATTTAATCCCCCTCAACCTCAAAATATGTCCCTTCACTTTGAACACAGTTATCCCATCATTCTTAGCAGTTCTAGAAGTCCTCTTTCATGAATGTCTTTACAAAGTGTGCCCAAAATACAGTAAATACTGTTGCTAAGTGCTGTTCAATGGAAAGACAGGTTTGTAAAAGCATTACAATATGTCCTCACTCACATTGTCAGATCTGTCACCCGTGACTTTTAGATCTTCCCTGAAGTCAAAATTACCATGAAAGGTAAACTGTTGGAATCTTTTCAGGACATTGAGGCAGCATCATAGTGCAATTAAAGACACAAAAGAGGATTTCTGCAATTGCTTTAGAAAGTGGCAAGAATGAGCAAGTATGCTCAAAAGTAAGGGAAAGTATTTTGAAGGGGATTAATGGCAATGTGTTTTTTACTGTAATGTGTTTTTAAAATTTAAACATTCATCATATGTTTCAGTCTCACATGTGCTGAACACAGAACAACCCATACTTTGGTAAGCAGTGCCATATATTCAAGAGGAAAAAGCCAAAATGGAATATGACAGCTATGAGTTTTTGTTGGTTTCAAGAAGAATATGCCTTTTTCATTTCTGATAAACTAAAATGTGAAGAACTTCAACTGTAGCATTTACTGCTTAGTATATAATTATCAATATGGTGCTGATAAGAATCTAATATGTTTCCACACTTGGCACAAATTGTTGAAAGGAAATGTAATCCAGTCATATGATCTTAGTCAATAATTTGCCCAAAGAGACTTGAGTCGGTCTACTTTAGGTGAGAAATTAGTAACCTTGTCTTTCTTGTCCTCTGTTGCATTGGCAACTTGGGGAATATTCTTTCTTTCCCTCTAGATTGCAGAGCTGGACCCCATCTTTCTGCTATCCTAAGGGATTCTTGGTTTCTCTCTGAGCTTGCTTCTCAAATGCTGCTATTCCCCAGGTTCCATCTCAGCTCTCTTCTCCTGAATCTCACAATCAGTTGTATTTGATGTCATAAATGTTCTGACCACTCCCAAATCTGTTTCTTAAACCCACCCTCTTCTCTTGGTTCCAACACCCAGAGCTTCCACCTGAGTTGCAGGCTGATCATTCTTTATTCAAAGTGCTTGAGATACAAAGTGTTTCAGATTTCAGAGTTTTTTAGAATGGGCAATAATTGCATACACTTTACAGACTGAGCAACCTTAATCCAAAATTCTGAAGTTGTTTGAGTGCTATGTTGGTGTTCAAAAAGTTTTTGATTTCACATCATTTCACACTAGGGATATTCAACTTGTATTTTTTTAAAAAATCTGTACACTTTAAATGTCTAAAGCAAACTGAGTTTGGTCTCATAACCCTGTAATCCCAGTACTCCAGGAGGCTGAGGTAGGAGGATCACAAGTTTGAGTTCAGCTACCTAGTGTGTCTCAAAAAAAATAAGAAAAAGGTCAGAGAATGTAGTTCAGTGAGAATGCCTTGTGTTCAATCCCCAGTACCACACAAAAAAGAAAGAAAATATTCAAATAGATACATCTTCCTCGCAAATCTGATATTCTTTTTTTTGGGGGGGTTCAGGGGATTGAACTTGAAGCAGGTGGTAAAACCACTAAGCTAAATCTCTGGACCTTCTCTAACGGCTTGATCACCACATGCATCATGAATATTTTATATCTTAAGAATAACTGGCATTATGTATACTTATTATTGGTAAGTGCCCCCCCCCGTTTTGGAATATTTACACAGAATAGCTCTCTTTTGATTTGGCTGAGGGGTGGGGTAGAGGGTTATGTCTTGTCATTGCTTCATAAAGTGACATTTTCAAGTTGACAGAGAGGAGGTGGGAAAATATGCAGAAAACTAGGTCAGGTAAGAGCAGAGGAAAAAAAATTGCATATCCACCACCTCAAACCTTGGGATTCTTTAAGGGAAATAGCTAATTAACTGTAAGTGAAACTGTCACTAGAGTTGTAACCAGGTATACCCTGTGACCCATGTTGTGGAGTAACCATTGAAATAAACTTTACACCTGAGAGCTGTTACCTGTTTACTGGAATCACCAAAGCAATCACCTTAGGCAAAGCAATAAGACTTCTCAATTTCTTTCCTGTAAAACAATAATAAGTACCAAGGGCAAACCCACTTGGATTAAGTAAGCATGGGAGGGTTTTACTGCTCCAGGATGGGAAAGCTCAGAGCATGAATGGACTTTGCAGAGCAGTAGAATAGAAGTTCAAATGGGGCTTATTTATGCAACGATGCTAATGAAACCATTTACATTGATGGTTATAACTGATATGTATTGACTTATCCTTGTCATTTTATTTTCCTGTTGTTGGTTCCCTTTCTTTTCCCTGTTTAATTGCTTGCCTTGCCTAGTGGATTCATTCTATTGGGGTTCATGGAATTGTAGTCTTGTCTCTTTTTAGAATATCACTCAGAACTTTTTGGAGTGCTGGTTTAGTGGTCATGAATTTCTTCAAGTGTTCTTTGTCATGGAAGTATCTTATTTTTCTATCAATTTTGAAAGATAGTTTTGTGGGGTACCTCAGTATGGATGTGTCCCCCACACACAGATGTCCATATCCACATCTACAGCAGTGGCCTGCCGCAGTAAATCTTTTTCAAATGAATGAAATAAGGTGGTTTTATTCAGTTCCCCCAAATTATGTAACTGTATACTAAATATGCCCTTTGGAACCACAAAGAATAATAATCTGATCTATTTTTCTAAGAGACCAGTTTATGCTAACACCCTCTGTCTTGTTGGATAACTTAAATGTAGACCAGAACATTCAGCAAAATATAGTAACAAAGGATATTCAAATATGATTTGTAATGTCAGTGATGGAATATTTTATTCATAAAGCCAAAGTATAAAATCCCAAACTAATTATATTGTTATCTGAAACTTTATTCCCCACCAGAAAAAAGGGAAAAATATTACCTCATCAGTAATCAAATAAACACACATTATGACAACATTTAAGACAACATATTTTAGCCAAGGATTTAGCTCAGTGGTTTCACCACCTGCCTCGCAAAAGCAAGGTCCCAAGTTTAATCCCTGGTACAAAAAAACAAAACAAAACAAAACAAAACATTTTATTTTCAAAATGGGCAAAGGCTTTTTTTTTTAAGATAAAATTTATTTGCCTATCCTGAGGTGATGTGAACAAGCACTATTAAATACTGCTAGTAGGGGCCGGGGATTTAGCTCAGTGGTTCGGCTATCTGCCTCAGAAGAACAAGGTCCAGAGTTCAATCACGGGTACCAAAAAAAAAAAAATAGTTAAAATTAAATTTATAAAAGTTGTTTCAGAGTAATAATTTCATATATACACTAAAATTATTACATAAGGTCAACCCAGCAAGTTATACTGGTGAAATAATGTAAATTTACATAGCCATGTAGCTAATTACAGTTTTATCATAATTGTATTAAATTTTGAATACCTAAATGTATAACTATACCTATACACACATATCAATAACATAGTCAAATAGTGTATATGTATATATAATTAT